TGTCAGTTCTGCGTGCAATAAGTGGTCAGGATCTATGAGAGTCCTCTCCACGAATTTACACAGGAAGTTGTATGACACTGAAAGTTTCACACTCAACTCATTCAAAGGAATAGAGGAAACGCGATTAATAATGATTAGACCGCGGTGTAGGATTTTTAAATTTCTGCTTGAGTAACTGGGGCATAATACAGATGGGGGGAGCACATTGATGCACAAAGGTGGAAATATTTGACTGGGATGCGTGAAACTGCCTGAGCTTTCGAATTTGAAATGATAGGCACCACAGCTTACCAATGTAGTTGTGGATGTGGGTTGACTAACGAAGACTGTTATCTGTAGTTACATCAAGATATCCGACAGAGTTCGCCCAATATGAAAGATTTTTATTTATCACTGTGGGGTCTGTCGGATATGAAGAGCTTGCAAAATTATATAAACATTTAACACATTTATTGGGGTTTAAGCTTAGCTCCGATGAGGAGGAGAATGACTGAATTTGATCAATACTGTCGGTGAAGGAAAAATGGGTTGCTATAGTACATCATCCGCATATTTCAAAACACGTGCAATAGAAACACATGGAATATCACAAATATAAGTGGAAAATAAGTATGGGGATGGCACAGTTCCTTGAAGAACTCCGGAGTTGTTGACTAAGGGTTTAGACAAAGCTTCCCACAATCTAGTGGTTTGCTCTCTAACAGTAAAACAGTTGAATCGCTAAGCTAACAATTGCTCGGGGCATTCAACCGATTTCAGTTTCTGTAACAACTTTGAGTGAGGAATCGAATCAAATGCTGAAGAGTAGTTAAGAAAAATACACCGAAAAGACTTAACACAGTTGTTCAAAGACCTAGTGATAAAATGAATAAGGGTGGAGACTGCATCTGAAGTGGATCTATTAGGCTTGTAAGCAAACTGTAAATGATTAATGGGGATGTCTGTAGACTGCTGAAGGCGTTTGAGGATAGCCTTTGCAATCAACTTAAGAGTTGAAGATGTTAACGTTATGGGGCGAAAACGTTTGGAAACGATAGAAGATTTTGCGCCTTGGGGATGATTGTGACCCGCCTCCAACAGTCGGGGATAGTAGACGTTATTCATTTACAATGAAGGTGATTGCCCCAACTAGGAAAGCAGTACCGAAATCGAAGAGTGCTGGAGATAAACCATCCAACCATTTATATATATATAACCAATCAACACCAATCAAGACCTTTGTAGGTTGGGAAACTAAGAACTGGGAAGCGGTAGGCTTACTTGGCCAGCGTTTGTCGCACCACATCTCTGCGATAGTCATGATAGCGTACCAGGCAATTCCGGGACCCCTCCGAATTCGGATCGAACGCCCGACTTTGCTGCATCCATTCCATTATGAATTGGAGATTATTTAACGAATGATCTGAGGCATCCTCCAGCGCTCTCAAATTGTCGTCTTGTGCAGAATCATTTTGAGGGCCTTCGGGAACGTCCGGAATAATTGGAGCAACAACAGATGATGAACGAAAGAAGAACATGTGTTCAAATAAACTGATGTGATTGACTAAACCTGTTGAAAAAAGAACTGGGTCACGTAGACACTCCAGATGATTTACCATTTTAACTTTCATACCAAGATTAGAAGGCGCCAAATGAGGTTTAGGCATGGTTGAACCTGTGTGCATGATCCCACAGGTACGAATACAGCGCTCATGTTTGAGCCCTTATCTCTTTGTTTCGTATTTAACAACATAGCCTGGGGGAATTGATGGAGAGTTATGCAATCGGTATTACCAGTCGAAACTGTTTTACCGCCTCTCCTTTGAAGCCCAATGAGTTTCATCACCCCAATTCCCTTCGACAAGTTGTCGATCAGCTTAGTGCAGATTGACGGTGAACAAAAATAACAATGGACAGTTATTTGCACTCGTAGATCACTCCCCAATCTGATCGTCATTTTCTGCAAATGAAGAAAAGTTTTTTAAATACACAGAGAGTGAACGAATGTCTGGTCCATCGTGAGATAGAAAAATTCGCTTTCTCTTCGATCGATGGATGAACAGTTCGACTCGTCACGAAAGCGGTACCGAGAACGTTTCATCTCTGTCGGATTTTCATTTGCGTCCCTCCAGTGTTCTGGTTTCTGAACTTCACGAGAAAGCACAGATGTTCGCTTGCTAACTTGCCTCTAATTTTGCATCGTCTAACTTATCCCTGTTCTAGTCGATCTTCTGCGTGGTCGACCGCCTTCTTCTATTCCTTGTTACCACCGGAAAGGTTCGATAAGCTGTTCGGTTATCAGATATGTGTAAACTAACCAGTTCCTCCACTCTTAATTATGACTTATTCTCTATTCCAATGCTTCTAGATTACTAGGGAAACATTGTGATCCCTTGTACTACCACACCCCAGCGTTCTAAACCGATTGGACTTCTTAAACCTCAACAACTGTCGTCGCATTTATCTTATTTCCACAATTTCTAAAGCGACGATAATCAAAACCGACTTATTTTACGACATGAACGAGAAAGAGTACCAAATTATCAACGATAAGATTTCCGACTGCACCGTCCCATCAGAAATCTGCAAAACTTAGTGTCCTCTTAGAGGTCAGCTCCACTCGAAAGCCATGCAGTATTACACCGAAAGTAGTGAATATCTCGAAAGCTCTCACTTATGACCGGAACCAAGATGTGGGGTTGCTTCGACATCTATGTGGTAGAGAGCAATCACACAATTTCAGTCAGCGTGGATGGAACGCCACTCTGGAGCATCCGTTCTAACCAGATCCGCGTTTTCATGGGTTCTCCAGCACGACCATTGTCAACATGGACTGCAACCGTGGTCAATACCTACGATAAGAATATCACATCCGGGGGGAGGGTGAAACAACCATATCCTCCGTCATGATTCTAACGCTTTCCTTCTTCGAACACCAATCTTTTGATTCACATTCGGATTGAAACGAGAGCAAGGAAAACACATAATCATGTGCATCGTAACAACCGTATTACTCACGATCAGAATCCGCGAGTTTCAACAAATGCTCCATATTGATTGGCCTGAAAGTTTGTTTCAGAATGGCCTCGAATTCTCGATTTAGATTTTTCAATCCCAGATCATACAACGATTGCTGTGAATAAATTAGAGGAAAAGAAAGGCACACTTGAGGTAGTTATGGTGATTGTGGATGAGGGTGCATATGGATAGGGCAGATAGAGTAAACTAACCAATCGGATAAGTTCCACTTCTTCCACATTGTGCTCCCGGAAAAACACGAAGGCTTTCTGAATGCGTTCCATCACCTTTAAATACCCCTCGAGCGATTGTGAAGGCCTGAACGAATATGTAGGATGGGAACACGAGAGGAAACCATCAAAGATGTCTAATAACAGATCAACTTACCCTTGCTCGATCAGACTCTCCACTTCGGAAGCAGTTTTTCGATAAGCTTGTATTTGGCTCAGTTTTGAATGGCACTCCTGTATATCTGTATACAAAGGGATAAAAAATTACAAAAAAAATTTTGAGACAGTGCCATTTTGTACTACAAACGAAAATAAACCCCACGACTGTCTCTGTTACACCTCAAAACCGCAAATTACTGATAAGGTGAAAGTATACCAACCGAAGCTTGATTGAACTAAGGCAGACTAATGTTGGAAGGCCATTAAGTCGAGTTAGAATGAATAGCTCTGATATTTTATGTTCGTGCACAGACCACAGTGGAATTTATGTACCACATAGCTCACATCGGGGCGGAATAGAATCATCTAGTTAACTTTTGTTTACTTTTTGTCTTCAGTAAGTTCATTTGGCCCGAGAGAAACGCAGAGGACACAGAAAGACTACTACTAATTCCAATCACGATATAACTATGAAAATGAATGCACTAAATCTCCAGGATTTCGTAATAAGAAAACTCAATAAAATAAGTATAGGTTAGTAGATGGTGGTACACCAGTAAGGCATAGTATAGTATGCAGCAATGAANGAGAGAGAGAGAGAGAGAGAGAGAGAGAGAGAGAGAGAGAGAGAGTTAACTGTCAAGGGAAGCAATGTAAACCAATGTAAACCAAATGATAGAGAAAGTGGCTAAGGACTCAGAGGTCGAGTTCAAAAAATACCATCGAAGCGATTTTCTGGTGAATTATACCAAACATCCAACACCGATTACTACAACAGTTTATATCAAGGTACCGAACATTGGCAAGGTCTACTACCGCGGCTATTGCAAATTCCTACGATTAAGATAGTCTGGATGGTTCCTAGAATAAAAGATCATCTGAGAGTTTGGACACTGGAGCGGGATAGTGGATAGGAGCAGTACTTTTGAGCTGGTAGACTGTCGTGTGCTTGGGCTGTGATACATCCCTTTGGTCGCCATCTCATACAAAACTTATATATGGCACCAAGAATCATCATCATCATTATCATTGTACAGCGTACTGCAGTGAAGCGAAATTCACTGATCGCTGTCAAACTCATAATGCATACAAGGAAAGTGATAATATGTACGAAGGACAGGGATTGGACCTATTTTTAGGGACGGGAAAAGAAAGCGAACCTCTATGGTCAATACACAGAGTAAACAGTTCAACTGAACATACATACTATTTCAAGCATTCTGGTCTGATAAGTAGTGACAACATGATCGTCATTGCTGTCGGTTAGCAGCCATGACCTTCAGTGTCTCCAACCATGCGGTTTCGGAGTCTTTTGGACCCCAACCCGGAAGACGAGAGACACCTACTCTACCTAATCGCTCTGNTCGCTCTGTGCATTTCTCTATGCCTTGTCTCAACGTCATCTGCTGGCCTCCGCGTGGCTTTCTCCAGCCTATAAAAGCGAATGCAAACAAGGCGCGCTGCGGTAGGCGCCCGAAGGATATACGCAAAACGTGTCCTAACCAACGGAGCCTACTGAACTGGATTCGATGAGATAGCAAGTTCTTCTTTGGTCTATTCCCAAACACCCGAAGACTCAATTCTAAGTTACTAACTGTTATGT